GGGCCCGGGGGAGGGGCGGCGGGGAGGCCCCGGGGGCGCGCGCGCGGGGCGGTGGGGAAGCGGTCGCAGCCCCCCGCCTCCCCCGGCGGCTTCTTACGACTTTTCTTTTGTTGTTGCCATGACCCGGCTCTGTTTTCTCGTCTGTTGTTTAAGGTGTTTTCCTGCCGCACCGGCTCTACGCCCTCCACCTCCTTCCCTGTGGTTTACCCTTCCTCTTTCCCCGAGTGTTTTATGCACAGCCAAGTACGGAAAGATTTGCATTTCTCCTCTCCTCCCCACGGTGCCCCTCCTGCCCCCACCTCTTTGAAAAACAAAACCCGACCTCACCAACCTCTCTGGACCCGCGGTAGCAGGACGTGAAGGGCTTGATTTGTGGAGTGGGAGCCGCTGGCCCATTGCGGTGCTTGGGACTCATTAAACTGTCACTCACCCCCCACCCCACTGGGTAAATGGGGTGATTAATGTCTGATATGTTGGAATGGGGCTTGGGCGTTTGGAGAGAATAGGTTGTGTGGCCGGCGGAGAAGGAATTTATCTCCGAAGACTGCTTCCTGAAATAGGCATTCGTAATTATGTCATTCATCGCGAAGTTAGAGAAAGTTCGGTTTGTGACTTTGGGAAAGCGAGAAGGACAGGACAGAGACGTAGGTTTTTGTTACTCTTTAACTCTTCGCCATGGTTTTCTAACGAGAACGGAATGGTTATCACCCGGGCTGCGACACTTGGGCCTGAGGCCCAGTTCCTTTTCTCCTGCTCACCCTCCCAGGAGTCTGTGGAGATGTATTTGACATTCACAGATGTCGCTGCACCTTGCAGGGCACCGATCAGCCTAGCCCCGATTAGGTTCCGATTTCATCAGCCATTAGAAAAGACCCACAAAGTCTAGCCAAAAAGTTCCCAAACTTACTAGACCCGGCACCCCCCTTTCTCCCTGAAAGGTTTGCTTGTGATCATGCACATTCCAGAGTGACCCCCGCCCCCCAAATAAAGATTGTTATGGGACACAGATCAAGGGGAAGGCGAAGTTCTGCTTTTTCTGAGCCGAAAGTCAGATCAGGTACGCAGGTGGGCATTCGTTTTAGGTAAGTGGCTGTAGCAGGTTGTATGGCTTTACTAATTTGTCTTGTTGAACCGAAGTACTTTCCAGGATTTCAGAAAGTGCACTTTCAGTTTGTTGATACTGAGAATTGAAATTTGCATTAACTGGCAGTGTGAGAAATTTTCCTGAGAAGGTAGTTGTAGATAAGTAGTTAAGTAAGAGTGGAATAATGTGAACCAGGCTGAATAGTTCTGAATAGTCGTCCAACATCCTAAGACATGTGTACCATTATCTCAGCGGGGGGAGAAAAAAAAAAATGGAAGTGCCGTAATAATGTTGAAATGGGACTGGAGATGTCAAATGGGTTGGTTTAAAAATATCCCTAAACTGCCTTTGAAACGAAACGTTGGAGTTGAATAAAAGTGAGTCTGGATTTCCTGAACAGCACCGTGGCTTGAGTGTGCTGTCAGTATGGAAGCCAGTCCACCAACTTAAGACAGAAGTGTTGCTATTCCATAAATACAGTAGAACTCCATATGCTGAGTTTTTCAATTTCTTCTGTTAGAAAGTTTGGGAAAAAAGGGAGATTTTGAAGTATTTTGTTTATACTAACAGAAGAGAAAAGTTCTCCTAAGAAAAAGCTGGTGGCAGGAGTGTAGAGGAGTAGCATATGGCATTAAAAGGAGCACAGCTGGAGGTAGCATTTCCATCTGAACATGATGTCAGAGCAGCTGACAGCCTGCCATCCCTCAGCCTTTTATTCTAACACACAGACAGGGAGTTAGTGTGTGCGGATCTGTGGTGGAGAAGGTATCTCGTTCCTCTCTAACATCATCTCCACTTTGCATCTGTCTCTCTTAGTCTGCTTTTTTTCCACCGATGTAACAGACCTGGAGCCAGCAAGACTCAGAGGAAAGGACTTAATCAGGTTTATGTGTCCTAAAGGTAGGCGTAGCAAGACATTAGATGGAGCATATTTGTGTTTGGGTGTTTTGTTTATTTAATTAAAAAAAAATCATTACTTTTCTAACCTAGTTTAGGAATAACTTATGAAATTGAGTATTAAATGAACATCTTATTGGAGTTGAAAGTCTTGGGCTTGTCTAGTTTTAATTTTTTTATCCCTTTTGCTTGAGCAAATAAATAACTTTAATACACAGAAATATTTCAAGTTTTGAAATGTTAAAGAAAGCTTTGAAATTCTGCTTTTCGAGAGAGCACTTTGGATGAAAATGCTTTCTGTTGTTTTTCACTGCTGCTTGGATTCCCTTTGCTTTGGGGGTCGGGGTTGGGGGGGAGAAATCGTAAACTCTGGAATCCAGCATTTAAACTTATATGAGAAGATTATTCTAGTTGAGAAGCTAGATTGTTGTGTAATTAATTCCACTGTGAAACTTTATTCTTCAAAACATTCAGCAGCCCTGCTGAAACATACAGCTGTATGTGCTTTTGAAACCGAAGGTTTTTTAGAAGGGGGAAAAAAGAAAACTTTTGTCCTCAGGAGAATAGTTTGACCGGTTTCCTCATTTCTCTTTCAAATATATATTTAAGAGATCTTTTATTTCAGCATAACAATAATTATTTGCAGGAGTTTTTGTGTTAGCGACTAATTTAGAACTTGTAGATTCGAGCTGCCTGAATTGGCCAGACAGCTGTAATCGCACTCCTCTATTCTTAATCTCTTTATCTGGGCAGCAGCTGCCATATGGCCACAGTCAGCTGGATCAGATGTTTATAAGCTTCCTTCTTCGTCCCTCCCTGTCCTCTCAGCCTCCTAATTTGATCACAGCTACCTTGTGAGCTGCCCTCCAATCTTTATTTTTAGCCCTCTCAAGGATTAGGATTGATGTTAGCTGTGGGGCACTTAGAGGGATTGTATTGTGAATCTTGGTTTATTCTAGCAGTGGCATCTCGCAGAATGCGTTTGGGGTGAGGGTGAAAGTTTTAGTCCACCTTGGGCAAAGTGGAGAAGAAACAGGGAAGGAATTTCTAAATATTAAATTAATATGGCTCCATTCGCAAAATGGACTTTCTGAGATGGATGGTGTAGAACCTTGCCTCTCTCTGGTCACAGGAAAGGGGAAGTTGGGTTTTCTTTATTTTTAAGGAGTTGAATTTTGACCCATTGTACAGCTTCTCTCCGCTCTCCCTCCAGAAAATCAGGACAATGCATATCTGAAAGAATAGAAGCTAGTGGGAAAGCAAAATATATCAAGTTATGTTGAAACAAAGTATTTTCTGTTGACAGAGGTAAGGCAGAGTCAGGAAAAAAAATAGTTTCTCTTTTCTAGCAAGGCTTTTTTTTTTTTTTTTTACATTGAACTTGTAAAGCTTTGAGTTTCATTTGAATGTACTCTGCCTTTATCTAAAAGTTTGAATTAATTTTAATAAGGAATTCATCTTCCTTGCAAAGGATCAAAGTTGAGCATTTTCAGAGTTAAATAAAGCCCTTCTGGCTCCTAATATTCTAGATGTACAGATTTTACAAAGAAATAGAATCATTTTTTCTCAATTCATTAAAAAAAAATTTGGATTTGTTCGTAGTGAAGATGATCTGTTCCATCTGTTGGTGTAGTTCCTTCTGATCTCGTACATGTGTGCTATACCTGCAAATCTTAAGGCATTAACATCTGTTTTTATACACAAGGCTTTTGTTGTTGTAACACTCTGACTTTAAAACTAAGTTGTTTGCTAATTTCTGGACTAATTATGCAATTTCATTATGGTTTTTTTTTTGATGCAGCTGAAGTGTGTGTTTAAATGGTGCTTTCTAAGTGCAGTCAAGTATCAAAAGTAATAAAAAGGGTGGTCGAACAAGCTTTCTGAATCTTCCAGAATGTGTTTGGGACTTTTCTTTGTTCATTATATGAGTTGTTCCCTTTGAAATTAAAGCTGTTTTGTAGGACATAATTTGATGAGTAGAGTTAATTAGATTTCTTCTGAAAGAGATCTGAATTCTTGGTAAGAGACTGTCTTGAAATCAAGGCTTCTAAAACTTGACTAAAAGTTCGAGGAAGGTGGGGAGGCGTCAGAGACCGTTTGGAAAGCGTGCATTTTTCCTCCCGCATTTAGGTTTGTGCATGTGATTTGGTAGTCCTTGGGTCTCACGCCTGATTAAAATTCAGGGACATGTACCTCGGCAGCCAAGCTGAATTATTATTTTTTCTATGGGGACTGGCGTTGAAAAGTTGTGAAGTTGTTCCTGGCGGGGCTCTCATGAGAAATCTCTCTTTTCCCAGGTTATGAAGACAGTATGGAGTTTCCAGACCATAGTAGACATTTGCTGCAGTGTCTGAGCGAGCAGAGACATCAGGGTTTTCTTTGTGACTGCACTGTCCTGGTGGGAGATGCCCAGTTCCGAGCGCACCGAGCTGTACTGGCTTCGTGCAGCATGTACTTCCACCTCTTTTACAAGGACCAGCTGGACAAAAGAGACATTGTTCATCTGAACAGCGACATTGTTACAGCCCCAGCTTTCGCTCTCCTGCTTGAATTCATGTATGAAGGGAAACTCCAGTTCAAAGACTTGCCCATTGAAGACGTGCTAGCAGCTGCCAGTTATCTCCACATGTATGACATCGTCAAAGTCTGCAAAAAGAAGCTGAAAGAGAAAGCCACCACGGAGGCAGACAGCACCAAAAAGGAAGAAGACGCTTCAAGTTGTTCGGACAAAGTCGAGAGTCTCTCCGATGGCAGCAGCCACATGGCCGGCGATCTGCCCAGTGATGAAGATGAAGGAGAAGATGAGAAATTGAACATCCTGCCCAGCAAAAGGGACTTGGCGGCCGAGCCTGGGAACATGTGGATGCGATTGCCCTCAGACTCAGCAGGCATCCCCCAGGCGGGCGGCGAGGCAGAGCCACACGCCACAGCAGCTGGAAAAACAGTAGCCAGCCCCTGCAGCTCAACAGAGTCTTTGTCCCAGAGGTCTGTCACCTCCGTGAGGGATTCAGCAGATGTTGACTGTGTGCTGGACCTGTCTGTCAAGTCCAGCCTTTCAGGAGTTGAAAATCTGAACAGCTCTTATTTCTCTTCACAGGACGTGCTGAGAAGCAACCTGGTGCAGGTGAAGGTGGAGAAAGAGGCTTCCTGTGATGAGAGTGATGTTGGCACTAATGACTATGACATGGAACATAGCACTGTGAAAGAAAGTGTGAGCACTAATAACAGGGTACAGTATGAGCCGGCCCATCTGGCTCCGCTGAGGGAGGACTCGGTCTTGAGGGAGCTGGAGCGGGAGGACAAAGCCAGCGACGACGAGATGCTGACCGCCGAGAACGAGCGGGTCCAGGTGGAGGGGGGCATGGAGAGCAGCCTGCTGCCCTACGTCTCCAACATCCTGAGCCCGGCCGGCCAGATCTTCATGTGCCCCCTGTGCAACAAGGTCTTCCCCAGCCCGCACATCCTGCAGATCCACCTGAGCACGCACTTCCGCGAGCAGGACGGCATCCGCAGCAAGCCGGCCGCCGACGTCAACGTGCCCACCTGCTCGCTGTGCGGCAAGACTTTCTCCTGCATGTACACGCTCAAGCGCCATGAGAGGACTCACTCGGGCGAGAAGCCCTACACCTGCACCCAGTGCGGCAAGAGCTTCCAGTACTCGCACAACCTGAGCCGCCACGCCGTGGTGCACACCCGCGAGAAGCCGCACGCGTGCAAGTGGTGCGAGCGCAGGTTCACGCAGTCGGGGGACCTGTACAGACACATCCGCAAGTTCCACTGTGAGTTGGTGAACTCCTTGTCTGTCAAAAGCGAAGCACTGAGCTTGCCCGCTGTCAGAGACTGGACCTTAGAAGATAGCTCGCAAGAACTTTGGAAATAATTTTATATATA